ATCTTATAAATTATTCAGGAATTTACTTTGGCAAGGACGCCCAGCCCATTTTTCATTAAATAAATTGTAGTTAACTATAGAAGGCAGGTATAACTTGCCACATTTACAAGCATATCATTGGACATATATTTATCTGTTTCTGTTTCAAGCTGTGATACAGATTCTCAGTACTCAGTTGCCCTTTGGACACAACGTGAAAGTTAGTATTTGAATTGATGGAAAACTTGGGAGGTTCTAGGTTCCTTATTTTTCCAGCAATTATGTAATTAACAGTGCTTAATGCCATAAGATGCCTATGAAGGTACTAGGTTGTAAGTATTGTTTTTACCTTTTTACTCAAGCTTAAATTGTGGGGAAATCCTAGCTCATTACTCTTTTTGCAAGGTGTATTGGGCGTCCCACATCGAATTTATCCTTATATCAAGAGTTATATATTCTTTGATCATACAGAATAACCAAGATAATTATTATGTGGCATTGGAAGAACCTATCTCCCCCAGTGGATAGCAGATATCCATTCTTTATTGAAGTCTTTTTGGCTCTTGCCTCTTGGCAGAACAGCAGAGGCAGAGGCTGGGAGAGTGTGCTGAGTGGCCAGGGGACTGGCGAAGGCAAGGTAGGAGCTGGGCAGGGGAGCAGAGGGTCAGGAGCAGCGGAGAGGAAGGGGGCGGGGCCAGAGAGGCCAGGAGGAAGCAGAGGGGTGGGGCCAGTGGCCTGTGAGGCTTATAAGGTGTCGGCCCTTGTCTGCATCCCTTAGCTGCAGCCCAGGCTGCCCGGGGAGTCCCTTTCCTGGGGGTAGGTTTTTAAAAATTATTTTCATTTTCATTTTGTCCTTTTCTCTGTGTGTGGGTTTTTGTCTGGAAGAACTGGGCGAGTGAAGAGTAGCGCAGGACAGACAAGACGGGGGAACAAGGCAGGGTCTCTGAAAGGTTCCCAATGGCAGACCAGGAGATGGCCTTGGCGGGAGTCACGGGTGTTGCTGTCTGCTGCGACAGCTGCGACATGTTCGTTCTTCTCCCTCAGGAGAGGCTGGGATACACTTGCCCTCAGTGCAACCTTGTGACCCTCCTAGAGGAGGAGGAAAGCTGCCTGAGGGCCGAGAGAGCTCTCCAGGCCCCCCAGGAGCAGTCTCCCTACAGACAGAGGGTTGAAGGAGGGGAGACAGGAGGAACAGCCGGGGAGACATGGAGGCATGTCATCCATAGAAGGAGGAGGCCAGCATGGCTCCTTCTGATGCCAATTTGGAGCTGGGAAACAGATTCTCTCCACTTGGGGAGGCTGGGGCTGATGAGGCTTTGGGGGACCAGCAGGACCGTCAGCCTGGGACCACATGTGGCCAGGAGGTCACTGCAGGAGAGGTGAGGGCCAGGACACGGCCACCTACCACCACAAGGAAGAGATGGCGGCAGGTGATTATCACCAGGGTCTCCCTGCTGAGGGGCACTGAGGCGACAGTGTGCCACCCTGCCCCTGAGGCGAGGGAGGTCTGTTGCCTGCCAGGCACACACATCCGCCATGTGAAGGATAGAGTGAAGTATCTTGTTCCCTCCGGGGGTCACCAGCTGCTTCTGGTGATCCATGTGGGGTCAAATGACATAGCCAGGCAGGGTGTGGGCGGGGACTTTGAGGTCTTGGGGAAGAAACTCAGGGACATAAAGACCTAAGTGGCCTTCTCATCTATCTTACCAGTCCAGGAATTTGGGGCAGGCAGGGAAAGGAGGGTCACCGAGGTGAACGACTGGCTTAGGGTGTGGTGCCAGAAGGAACACTTAGGGTTCCTTGAACAGGGCACCCGATTTCTTGCTAATGGACTTCTGGCAAGGGATGGGTTGCACCTCACAAGGATGGGGAAAAGGTCCTTCGGAGATGCTCTAGTGAGCTTCGTCTGGAAGACTTTAAACTGAGTCCGGGGGGTGGGGGTTCAGGCCCCCCAGAAACTTGTCCACACTGGACAAATGAGGGGAGAGGATCAGGTCTCTGGGAGGTACAGGTACTGCAGGAGCTGACAGGACTCCTACAAAGATGGGGCTGGTATCAGGGAAGATGGGAGGAAGGAGGAGGCTGGGGATTCCAAAGAAAGAAAACTGTGGGAAGGAGCTGAGGTACATGTACACCAATGCTAGGAGCATGGGTAATAAGCAGGAAGTGTTTGAAGCTCTCCTGGGAATAAGAGTGTATGACCTGGTGGGGATCACGGAAACTTGGTGGGATGAAAGGCAAGACTGGAATGTAAAGATAGAGGTAAACATATAGCAGGTCGAGCTTGAAGCTGGGACTTCAAGAGGGCCAACTTTGGCCAACTGACGGCCAGACTGGGGAAAGTCTCCTGGGAGAGGTTACTGGAAGGCAAGGGAGTTGAGGAGGGGTGGCAGGTTTTGGAGGCACAAGCCTTGATGTTACCTCTAGTTAGTAAGATGGGGAGGCGGAGGAGAGTGCTGCCATGGATGCAAAAGGAGGTGGTTAGAGGGATTAGACAAAAGAGGAACCTCCGTAGGAAATGGGTACTGGGGCAAATAGACAAAAGGGTATACCGGGAGGAGGAGGAGGAGGAGGCCCATTGCTGAAGGATTCTTCAGAAAGCTAAGGCTGATTACGAGCTGAGACTTGTAAAGAATACCAAGAGCAACAAAAAGGGCTTCTATCAGCATGTAAATAGCAAGAGGAAGGGGAGACAGGTAGTGGGATTGCTAAATAAGGAGGAAGGGGATACAGTGACTGATGCAAGGGAACAGGCATAGATGCTAAATGACTATTTTGCCTCTGTGTTCTCCCCAAAGCAGGACGGGGGAGATCCACATGGGAGATTAGATGAGGCCAGGGACTTAGGGGCACAGATTAGAGTCACCCCCCCCTAGAAGTCGAGGGGCTCCTCAGGGCACTGGACATTACAAAGGCACCAGGCCCTGATGGGTTACACCTGAGAGTACTTTGAGAGTTGGCAGGGGTTCTCTCATGCCCGCTGGCTTCCATTTTGGAGGCCTCGTGGAGAACAGGTGAAGTTCCAGAGGACTGGAGGGTGACGTCAATGGCCCAATTTTCAAAAAGTGTAGTGGAAAAGATTAGGGGACAAGTGGCTGGAGAGCAGCACTTGTGAAAGGTACCTTGGGGTGCTGGTTGACTGCAGGCTAAACATGAGTCAGCAGTGTGATGCGGTGGTCAAGACGGCAAACGCCACCCTTGGTTGCATATCCAGAAGTGTGGCTTCTAGATAGAGAGAGGTATTACTACCACTCTATACAACTCTGGTTCACCTGCAACTGGAGTATTGTGTTCAGTTTAGGACCCCTTGTTACAGGAAGGATATAGCCAGGTTAGTCAGTCCAGTGTAGGGCTACAGGGCTGGTGGCTGGATTGCAAGGGAAGTGGTATGAGCCGAAACTGAGGGAACTGGGTCTCTTCAGCCTGGAGAAGAGGAGACTCAGAGGGGATCTGTTAGCGACATTCAGGTATGGGAGGGGGTGTCACATGGAGATGGGTAGAGACCTGTTTTCCCCTGCAGAGGAGGGCAGGACGCGCTCCAATGGAGCAAAGGTCAAGGAAACCAGGTTCCATTTAGATGCCAGGAAGCACTTGCTGCCAGTTAGTACCCCAAGGGTATGGAATGGACTTCCACGGGAGGTGGTTGAGGCCCCATCATTGAGGGTGTTCAAGGATAGGCTAGACACACATATGGGAGGCATGTCGTGAGCGGAGCCAGCTGGAACCGGGGGTCAGACTAGATGGCCTGAGAGACCCCTTCTGACTTGCTCTGTTTCTGTGTCTCTATGTCTGAACTGGTTTGTTTTTGACAGAATGCTGAAGAAGATGACTTTTAAGTAATTTGGCCTACTTTCAGCAAATTGTTTATTTTGTGAGAATATGGGCCTATTCACACGGTTCATTAACCACCCCGAGAACATGCTACACAGGACAACCTATAATGTGCCTACAGACAATCTGGCTCACTGTCATTCTTCTTCCCTTCCTTCCACCTTGATCTTTCTTGTGAGTGAGCCTGACTAGGACATCCCAAAGACACAGTGAAGGGAGTTTTAGAAACTCAGGAGAGGCAGAAGTGTTCTCAAGGTCACTGTTCACAGGTTTCCAGACCAAGCAGGTCAGCAGAGATGTTTTGGAAGAGATGGGAGGGATCAAGATGGGGAAGAGGGAGAGCTATTGCCTTGCCCATGATCAGGCATTGGGAGAGATGAGCTATTCATTTAGAGAGCTTGAATAGGTCTCACCTGCTAGTGTGTACCACTTTGAGTGGGGGAGTCCCAAATTGCACAAATATTCCCAACAGTTAAAAAGGAAAAGATCTTTGGGTGGCAAAATGAGATGGTGCAAATGGGGCACCAGCACCAGTGGATAGTGGTATTATTCACTTGGCCACATTTAGCCACCCCCTTGGGAACTGTCCAGGACCCACAGTAATTACAGCATTCATTGTATGGGGGGAAGTAAAATTTCCCCTTTCTGCAGTAGCTGAAAACTCAGGGAAGTGCTGAAATAGTAGAGGACAATAGGAACTGTAATTTCAACTCATAAAAATCTGGTGATTACATTGTTCCCATGCCTTTTCCGTGCACTGGCTTTGGTCACTCTTACCTTTTTACTTTTCTACTACTGGAAGGTTCATGAATGATATGAAGTAGATGGGCATGGCTTTCCAACTTCCATTGTTTTACAAAAACAAAAAGGCTCCCTTTTCCCCAAGAAAATAGGCTGGAAGAATCTTTGATAAACAGAAACTCATATTGATCTGTATTTTAATCTTACTGTTTTGTGAATTTATAATCCTTCTTTCAATGTATGTTTCTCAAGGTGGCATACTTGCATATGCTGGTTCTCCCAGTGTGTTGCTGATAGGGTAGTTATAGAAGGTAATTGCCTGTGTCACCTTGCCCACACATCTGAGCCAGTATTTCACACTAGTCTTAGGGCTCTGTAAAACTAGGCTGAGCACTCAGAGTTGCCATCTACCAACCCCTGGTCTAAAATTTAATTGGGTTTATTTTCAGGTTTCACCTTGTGAGAAATGCCGCTGCGAAGCTGATGGTGAGGTAGTGTGTACGGTGTCTGCTTGTCCCCAGACTGACTGTGTAGACCCTGTATATGAACCGGATCAGTGCTGTCCCATCTGCAAAAATGGTAGGTAACCAATGCAAGCTTCAGAGGCAGGTGCTTTTGTTTCATGTGAGCAGCAATAAAAGTAAACTTCCATTAAATATTAATGGCAGTTTAGTTTCCTCTCCCCACCATCTTTGGCTGCTGTGCAGCAATCTTAACCCTTCTCTGTATTATAAGTTCCACCTGTTTTGCGTTAATGCTTGGTGCATTTTTAAAACATCAGCAAGAGTTGCGTTTTGTTTTTGAGACAATTTGCCCATACAAAATCTCAACATGGCAACATGTTGTTTGTGATTACTAGCTTCCAGCCATTAGAGGATATGTGCTCCTTTGCATATAAATGCAAATTGTACTTCTACATATAAGCACCATAATTTATCACAGTATAATCTGACATGCCCACCAAATCTCTTTATTTTCCATATTGCCACTGCAGTCCCTAGCAACATAAGAATATTAATATTGCATCTAAATATTGAAAGCATAAGCATAATTTTCATTCCCTTCTTGCTGTCTTCATTTTCTCAGTTCTCCTGGATAATGAGAGATGTACAGAACTTTTAGGTCAAACAAATTATCCATCTCAGGACAGTATCCTGTGAGGAATTGCTGGATGCTGTGAGCTGCTGGCCTTCAGGGGACATGCCTGTTCCCTTGAGGCCTGGAGACACTGAGAGACATGGAGAAGGTGATAGGCAAGGCCTTCAGAGAGATGAGAGAGAGAGATGATACAGAGAGATTCCTCTCCCCGGGTGCCAGCTCCTTTGCTGTCACAGAGAATATCATCACTCAAGAAGGGTATCACTCCAAGGGAGAGGGTAATGAGTTCTTTGCAGGTACTCATTCCTCGGGGATGAACAGATCCTCATGTGCCAAGGATATGCTTTTAGATGGTAGGTGGCTGGGCCAGGGATGGAGTGGGTTCTGGTAGTTGGTAATTAAATCATTACAGATATAGAAAACTGAGTTTGTTAAGGGGATGTAGACTGCACAGTGACTTGCCTGTCTGGTTTGAAGGCTGAAGATAACATATAACTAGAGGTAAATAGTTCAAGACTACAGTCAGTAGTCGTGGAGCATGTTGACAGCAATGACCTAGAAGCCAAATTTAGGATACTAAGTAGAAAATTAAAGGCTAGGATCTAAGTATCTTGCTCTGAAATGCAAGCTGGTGTACAAGACCTAACTATTGTTGAATTTATGGGAAATTGTGACTGCAGTGTTATAAAATTTAATTTATATATAGGTAGGTCATTTCTGAGAACATCTAATGTAGGGAAATTTAACCTCAATAGAGGAAACCTCTCCAGAATTACGGAATTATTAAAAGGAAGTTGAAAAGAAAACTCAGAAGGGTCAAATAACTCTAGAAAGCTTGATGGTTGCACAAACCACAATAATGGAAGCTTAGAGAGAATTAATGCCACAGGTCATTAAAAGTACCAAAAGTTCACCAACATAGTTAGAAGCTGCATCAAGGAACCTATTGGAAAGTCTTTCTTCAGAAAATAGAAGTCTTATCAAATGAGGAACACAAAAAACAATACAAATATGCACAAAAAATTCAAGCAGACAAGATGCAAAAACAAATTTTGAGGAACATAATTACTAATAAGTTCAAGACCAACAATAAAGAATTCTTCAAATACATCAGAAGTAGGAAACTGGCTAGGAAATCAATTGGACCATTGGATGACAAGGTAGGTAAAGGGACTACTTAAGGAGCAAAATGGATTGTAGAGAAGCTGAATAGAGTTCCTACTTTTGTCTCTACCTTAGAAGATGTGAGCCAACTTCAAGTGGCTGACCTGACATTTTCAGGAAGGGAGTCTAAGGAACTAAGGAAAATAGTGGTGACAAAAGGTGAAGTAATGGACCTTGCTTTTAAAAAAAATGAAGATAAATCAAAAGATGGTATCTAACCAAGAGTAGGTAAAGAGCTGAATTGTGAAATTGCTGTTTTTTCTAATAAAACTATATATAACATCTTAAAATGGACCTCTTTACCAAAACACTAGGAAGTAGCCACTGTAATACCAATTTTTGGGGCAGGGGACAGGGCTGGGGGATTCAGATGGATCCAGAAAATTAAAGGCTGGTGAAACAGTCCAGTGCATGGCTACCATGCCGGAGCACTCTTCCTAATTACTCACACAGGAACAGGCAATAAAGGTCAGGCAATGAATAATACAGGAGCTGTTGATGTCAGTTCTAAGCAACACAGTTGCCCCCTCCTTTCTGACCTATCTCAGATTTATGATGCACTTTTCACCCGACGGGAATGCGCCTCCCCATGGGGGCTAGATAAACTCCTCTCCCTCCTTCTTTGACTTTGCCTCTCTTCTAATTGTCTCAAATGCTGAAGTCTTCTCCTCAGCTGGGAATTCTCCATGGCAACGGGCTGTCCCACGGTCTGCACAGCTGTGTTATTTTTTTGAGGAATGCAGCTCTGCTCAGTCTGGAGAAAAACGTCATCAGAGTCAGGTAGCGGGGAGGGGGTTGTGCCATGGGCACTAAATAGACATTTTCTTGCTCTAAAGCCTGACTCTTGCTGGGAGCTTCTTGCTCTCTTATGTGTGCTAACGACTCCTCTGCGTCGTTAGGCATGACACCATGAAAAAAACAAATTTCATGTTGGGGATCATTAGGACATGACCAGAAATTAAAACTGCCAATTTCATAATGCATTACATAAATCTATTTTATATGCACATTTTGATTACTGTTTTTGAGTCCTTTTTCTGCATGTGAGAAGGGATATTGTAGAGCAGAAAAGATTCATCAAGCACAATACCTGAGTTTGTAACAACTTTCTGGAATGGCTTTGGTCCGGTTGATGTCCTGCTTGGACTAGGTCACACTCTGTACTAGGCAAATAAAGGGCCTAATCCAACAGACAAGTCAATTAAGCAGGCAAATAGTCAAGCACAAAGGTACCAGTCCAGTATAGGATCAGTTTGAGGCAGGAGAAGTCATGTTATAGGCAGTGGTAAGAACATTAGTATTACTAAGCAGGTAGATAGTTTCTAGAAGAAAGGTGTGAGGCACAGCCAAAGCCCAAACACAGGAAATTAGTCAAATAGGAATGTCCAGATGTCAGTAGCACACGGGTTTAGTCACATGATCAGGAACACTGGAGTTGCAAACAAGTCATTTCTAGCAATGGCTGGACTGAAACTGAAACCTCCTAAAGCCAGAGCTTCCAGAGCCCCACCCAGAGCTCAGAGGCAGTTCATTATAAGACCTCTGGCCAAAGTCTTCAGGAGGAAAACCTTGCTCCCAATGAGGCCTGTATTCCTGAGTACTGCTCACTTTTCCTGCAAGTGAGCACTACTTCTCCGGACCATGCTCTTGGCATGTACCTTCAGGTGCCAGTGTTCTCGGGCTGGATGGTAGATCAACATCTCCCTCTGGCTTAGAAGCAGAGATGGCAGCTTTTGAAAGGGATGAGGAAGCCTTCTTTCCTAGGAAACAGGACCTTAGTTCCAACATCCCTTGAAGTGATTTGTTCCCTGGGGACATCAGCTCAGGGGACCCCAGTTTGTGTTTTGAAGGGCTTTACATCTCTTTAAGACCCGAATGAACCAGATTACAGCAACCCAATTCTCAGTTTTCACATTTGGTGTGACTCCAATGCACATTAATACTAGCTGGTCAAATGCAAAGGCACTTTTTACCACTGATGGGTTTTAACTAGTTTGCATTTTAGATAAAATATCACCTGCAATACTTGACTGTGCCTGTGTAGTCATTTTGATATCAGTGTAATGTGTCAGATAATTTCCATGTAAACTGTGCTGATTTCATTAAGCATGGGATATCTAGGTCTTCAGTAATCCAAGCTTAAAGTTTCTTTAACACAGTTTACCATAAACAGTCTACAATATGATATTTATTTGTGTATTTTCTCTTGTACGTCCTTTATATCAGTAAGCCTCTACCTGCTTTACAGAAAAGTCCATGAGTTTCTAGTGCACAATATATTAAGGAGAACAATTTATTAATGGAAACTGAGGATTCAAAATCTTAAAAGCTATATAAGACTTTTTTAAAAATTTGGGCTAGTTTTCAACTAAGTTATATCTGCCTTCCTAATAAAGGTCCGTGCATCAGCAAAACATCAGTTATGAATGTTTGCGAGTTCTATAAAGGATTTGTACAGGATGCTGTAATCACAACTTTCTACTAAGGTGGTAAGGTTATGTAATTATAGACAAAATATCTAAAATTATTATAAATGTGGTGCTCAGTCATTGCTGCAAATGCAGCGTGCATTTTATCCTTGACAAAAACCACATGTTGGTGTGGTCTTAGCCTCACCTTCTGGTGGGCTTTTCTTCTGGTGGGGAGGTGAGGAGTATAGGATGTATTACATATCTGTTGAGTATCACCCTTGTGCTACCTTCAGCTGGCAGTCAGCCATAGAATCACCCAGTTTTACTCTTGCTCACTCATGCCTTTTGATACAGCAGCATCTCATAGAGAAGGCAAAGCTTTCTGTAGAATGTTGATGGATTCTCATGGAAGTTATACTGGGGATAAATACTGCTCTGGTATCTGATTTTGAATAGCCTTCATTTCCAAAGAAGGTACCTACCTGTGCTGTAGAGCTGTGTTTTAAGCAGATTACTGGATTTAGCACGTATTTTTACCATTAGCACCATCTGTCTAAGATAACACTAGACTAAGCCCAGGCCTGTGATAGTCAATGTTATTAATTTCAGGAATGCTTAAAGGCACACAACTATTTCCAAAAATATTTGTGAGAAATTTTAGATAATGGGGGAAAGGAGGGGGTTAGAATAAAATAACATTTGGAGGGAAAAAATCTCCATGCTGCTGCCGCTGCCACAAAAAATGTAGACAGCTAGCATGTCTAAGCCTGAAAAGGCAGTCTTCACTTTTCATTACCTGAAGAGGGACCTCACCACTCTCTCACCAGATGACTTCTTGCTTTTGGTGCGAGTAGGCAGATTCCATCAGGACTCTCATTTGGACAATAAAGGCCCCAAACCAAACAT